GGATGAGTTCTCTCTTAGCTACTATCATTCCTGGGTCCCACTGTTAGGATCCCACTGTTAAACTCACTCTCCTGGGACTAGCCAAGGACATCTCCTCTAGTCTTGATTTTTCATGAATCTCGTAAAGGGCTTACTCTTTCTCAGCCTGTGGGCAGCCTTTTCATCTAAGTGAAGGCAGTAAGTTATACTTAGTTCACCCATTAAAAATTGTCTCCTCAAAAATGATCTATTTAACAATCATGAACAAGTGTCAGCAGGAGTTCACAACACTAACTTGCAACACAAGAGTCACACTAGGAGCCTGTTCACCATATATTCTGCATATATGAAGAGCTCTCACATAATGTAGTTGTCTCTAGTTATTTCCATGTTGTATAAGGTTGTATACAGTGATCTAATGCCTAGCACATAAAGCTAAAGAAATATTTGTAGATTTGATTTCAGCTCCTCTGGAGGAGATAATGTATTATTGAAATAACAGCATAAGAATAATGTTTCTTAAGAATCATATAACTTATTTACGAAGTTTTGTATTTATGTTTGTATGTGTATATACATATGTATATATACATATACAAAACATACACAAATATATATGATATTACTTTGCATGTTTACATATTTAATTTACATATATACACACAAATATATAACATTTCTTTTCTGCCCTTATATAACACTCACCTCCCTAATTTATCTTTAACAAATTTATTTTGTATTCAATACCCATGTTATTCATTTTAATGCCCTAGAAGTCTTCTGAGATTTCAAGTAGTAATTCTGAAACATCCTTTACTGCAAAATAAGGAAGTATATCTTTTGGAGCTCAAATATCAAGAATACATACATATGCAAATTTCAAGTTAGAGACAAATTTAAATAAATCTTCCACCACATTTAGTGAGTTTGTGGAATGATAAAAGCACTCTAAGAGTGAGGAAGGGGAAGCATATAGGTAGAAGTTGCTCACAAACTGAAATACAGCTGCCTAAACAGATGTTCATTCACAGCCCAGGATAGACAGAACACTTGGAACTCTGAAAAGGAAACCCCTTTTGATGGCATGAGAGAGACTAAGCCCAGGCCACTGACAGAATATTCTACTATTCCTAAAATAGTAGCAAGGCTCCCTACCCCATCAAAGGGCTAAAATGTCATACAGCCTGAGTTAGGCCTCTGGGGAGAACTTGACATGCTTGTTAACAAATTAGAAAGATAGCTATATTGAGCTACATCTAATTATTTTGCTTTAATGGTGAAGCATTTTCTCCTTCTATACTCATGGCCCAAATAAATGATTTACAATAGCATTTATTCTCAACCCTATTAAACAATCCTCTTCACATTTGCTTTCCGTAATTTTTAGCTTTGTCTCGAAAACCAAATAATATGAAGGACATGACAACACACACAAAGGATTTAGGGAAGCTGGCAAAAAAAAAAAAAATGAGGCATTAGAATTACTTAGATACAGTATTGATACCATTAATAACCTGGTTATTATTAACAGGAAAGGAGTAAAGGGAAGACTAAATGATATAAGTATGCCACTTATACAGCTTTGCCATTTATACAGCTCGCTCTCTCTCTCTCTCACACACACGCACACACACACACACACACACACACATGCACACACAATCCTCTTCACATTTGCTTTCTGTAACCTTTGGCTTTGTCTTGAAGACCAAAGGATTTAGGAAAGGTGGAAAGCTGGTAAAAAGTGAGGCAGGACAACCCATAACCTAAGCATCTACTTTAATGACTAATACCATTCAGGCCCTAGAGACATCTTCTCCACCATTTTTTCTTTATAATGCATTTGACTACTGATGAATAGTTTAAAGGATTTGCATTTTGGTGCAGCCAGTTTATGTTATGAACTCTGCTTTAGAGCACAGGGGCAAGATGTGCTTTGATAAAAGACAGCACAAATGAACATGTCAAAGTCTTACTCTCAATTTGCACGCTTGCAGTGGAGTCTTACATAGCAAAGATCATTTCCCAGAACTACCACATGTCCATTTTCTTGCATCAGTTACTGATCTGACATATAGTTGTGGAAGTAATCATAATTTAGCAGAGCATTTGCAACAGTTACCAAAAGTGACTAGAAACTTTTTTGCAATGTTAGAAAGTTTGCTTTTTATTCTTAAATTTGTTTCTTTATAAAAATTATTTTTATAGAATATATAAAGATGAGACAAATTATTTACATGAGCAACTAGATGGACACAGTATAATTAAAAGTATTTAATAAGATATAATTAAGTTTCCAAAATAGATATTAAAATTTTAGCTTTATTTAAGTGCTGATTTTTTATATTAATTGTAATTTATAAAATTTGTATTATTCATTATTAGAATAGATCATTTTGAATATATTAAGATAAAATATATTTATTAAAAATTGATTTAGACTTTAATAAAAATATTTTCAAATTCATTACACTGATACAATTACATTTATATGTTTTAAGTCATTATTTTAAACAAGAAATATTATGTGAAAATATTGATTATGAATTTTAGTAGTTTCTTACTCATTTTGCTGAAATGAAAAAAATAAAGATAAATCTTACAAAATATGTTCATAAAGGATTATGAATTATAGATATATTCATTTTATTATCATGTACTAGTAAACATTAACCAGACTATCAAAAGAACACTTAGGCACACTCAATAATAGCTTAAACCAGTCATAATTGGTATTTTGTCAACTTTCAGTATTTGGAAAGCAAAAGCTTTACACAAATGTTTTTATTCCATCAATATAAAAAAACATTTTGCCAGTGAAGGAGGAAAAATATTTCTTATTTAATTGTTTGTTTGCTTTTTTTCTGTATATTTAAAAAATATTAACCTATGATAAGAAGAACTTTATTTGTAATTCCTGCCTCAGAGTTTACAATTATTATACCTGGCCATAAAACCATGAACCCAAACTGAAATCTAATACGATATCCTTTCCTATTATTGTTTTCCCTTGAGGTGTGTGTGCTGTTCTCTCTCCCCAGTAAAAAGTGAATTACAGGGCAAGGACCATGCCTTTCATTCCTTATTTATTTCTCCTGGTCCCCATCACTATTGTGAACAATATGCTGGTCCTTAAGTAGCTGCCAATTGATTAGAAAAAAATGAGAAAAAATAATAATTATGAAATTATAAATAACCAGTGTTTCCAAGTTGAGTGTTGGGTGCAGGTTTGGGGGGTGGTAGGGAGGTTGTATCTAGCCCTGAAGATGACAGCTTCTATTAGGGGCATAAAAACAAACTGAGGAGCAACAGGAGGCTACTTTAGTGCAGCTTTATGTGGTTCCCGCATGACAGAAAGCTGGTGAGCAAGGTCTTCCTTATGGAAAAGCAGAGTTTTGCAGTCGCATAACAATGCTCAATGCTGTTTAATTTTAAAATGACGGAAATAAGAAGTTTTTTCTTAGAAAGCAATTCTGCAGTCAATCTTTTTTGTTGCTCTGTTTTGCAGCCATGTCAAACCTATTCATTTCTAGACCTTCAGTGAGTTTGCTCAGGATCATTTTTTGTGTGAGCAGAAATAAAAAGCTGTCCCCCAACTACTTACACTGAAGAGAAAGGACATGATATGTAAAGTTAAACTGACATTTAATTACTGCCACTTTACTATTAAGTAATAGCTTTTCTTTTTTAAAAAATATGTTTTTGTTGATTTTTAGATAGGAAAGGAGAGGGAGAGAAAGAGAAACATCAATTGGCTGCCTCTACATACCCCTTATCTGGGATACCTACAACCCAGGCATGTGCCCTGGAATGGAACTGGCAATCTCTCAGTGTATAGGATGAGGCTCATCCAAGCCACACTGGCCAGGGCAGTAATAGCTTCCTCTAAAAAAATTAAGCAAATACTAAAATCATTTCTTTACAAAGACATTTTGATTTAGCTGGTTTGAAAGCTATTGTTAGCTGAAAAGTAGTTCAGTTAACAAGATATCATATGTGTGGAAAGCCAACCATTGCAAAATATGTATTGCAAAATTCCTAAAGGAAAACTGCCTTATTGCTCTAGTTTTAGGCAATTTAGTAAATACTTGTAAGATCATTCTCAAAATAGTTTTTACTTGGGATATAAAAATTACTATATTCCTCAGTGGTCAATGTGATTTTCTAGAGTTTATGTATTCTCATTGCTCATTCCAAAATACTTTTATGTTTATATATGCACAAACAGTGAATTTAAAATGGAGTTATGTGAAAATCAAGATCTTTGTAGAAAAAATATTCTTATACTTTATGAATAAGCTCTATTTCACATCATTGTTCTTATTTTCTTGTGATTCAAGTCAATGAATGTAAACAAAGTTTACTTATTTTTATTAATATCATAGAGGAAGGGAGAAGGAGAGAGAGATAGAAACATCAATGATGAGAGAGAATCACTGATTGGCTGCTTCCTGCATGCCCCCCACAGGTGATTGAGTCTGCAACCTGGACATGTGCCCTGACTGGGAATCAAACTGGGACCTCCTGGTGGATATTCAACCACTGAGCCACACTCAGCCGGGCTTCATTTTTTTTTTTTTAATATATTTTATTGATTTTTTACAGAGAGGATGAGAGAGAGGTAGAGAGTCAGAAACATCGATGAGAGAGAAACATCGATCAGCTGCCTCCTGCACATCCCCCACTGGGGAAGTGCCCGCAACCCAGGTACATGCCCCTGACCAGGATCGAACCCGGGACCTTTCAGTCCACAGGCCGACGCTCTATCCACCAAGCCAAACCGGTTTCGGCTTAATTTTTTATTGAATAAGTTTGATGTGTAACATTGTGTAAGGTGTAAAATGTATTGCTTTTATTTTATTTTATTTTATTTTTTTATAATTATTTATGTATTTTTTAAAGTATCAATTATTTTTTATTTTATTGATGAGAGAGAGAGAGAGAGAGAGAGAGAGAGAGAGAGAGAGAGAGAGAGAGAGAAACAGAAACATCAGTTTTGCATCACTGGTGAGTCTTGTATGTGCCCTGAGCAGGAATCGAACCTGCAACCTTGACTTATCAGGACAATGCTCTAACCAACTGAGCTACCGGCCAGGGCTCACAATGTATTGCTTTTATACATTTATACTAAAGGCCCAGTACATGAAATCTGTGCACAGGTAGGGTCCCTAGCAGCTGCCGCCTGCTGGCCGGGGCCTCCCTTTGCACCCGCCTTGACCTGGCACTGCCCGCTCACCTACTCCACCATGCCACCATGGTTCCACTCTTTTCAGAGCCCATTGGGGCCAGCAGCACCTCACTGCTACCCATTGGAAGCCCGCCATGTTCTGCGCCACCCCCTGGTGGTCAGCACACGTCTATTTTCCAGTGAGTCAAACTCCTGCCTGTAGGGACAATTTGCATATATTAGCCTTTTATTATATAGGATATATGATTGCCAAAGCAGTGACAGTTATAATATTACATAATTATAGTACATAATTATTGTCTATATTAATTATATTGTGCATTAGATCTCTGTGGCTTATTTACTACTAATTACTAATTGGTACCTTTAATACCATCACTTTTATTCCCTCTTCCCCATCTACTGATAATGAACATATTCTGTTTTATATAGGTTTAACTTTTTTAGATTCCACATATAAGTGATATTATACATCATTTTTCTTTCTCTGACTTAACTGACTTAGCATCATGTGCTCAGGCTCCATCCATGTTGTCCCAAATGGGAGACTATCTTTGTATTTCATGACTGAATGATATTTCATAGTGTATATGTACTACATCTTTTTGTCCATTCATCTGTTGATGTCCATTTGGGTGGTTTGGGTGGTTTCATATCTTGACTATGGTGAATAATGCTGTGATAAACATGGGAGTGCTTACTAGTATATCTCCTTGAAATACTGTTTTAAATTCCTTTTGATATGTACCCAGAAGTAGAATTACTGGGTTATATGATAGATCTATTTTTAATTATTTGAGGAACCTCCATATTGTTTTCCATAGTAGTTGAACCAATTTATATTCCCACCAACAATGTATAAGAGTTCCCTTTTCACCAAGTCCTCGTCAGCAGCTGTTGTCTCTTATCTTCTTGATGATAACAATTCTAATATGATAACTCATTGTGAGGCAGTGTCTCCTTGTGGTTCTGATCTGTACTTCCCTGATCATTTATGATGTATCTTTTCATTTGACTTTTGGCCATTTTTATGTCCTCTTTGGAGAAATGCCTATTTAGTTCCCTTCCCTATTTTTAATCAAATTTTTTTGCTTTTTTTACTATTGAGTTATTGAGCTTTTTATATATTTTTCAACCCCTTCTCCCATACATGGCTTGCAAACATTTTATCCCATTCTGTAGGTTGTCTCTTAATGTTGTTATTTATTTCTTATGCTGTGCAGAAACTTTTGAGTTTGATGTAGTCCAATTTGTTGATTTTTTCTTTTGTTTGTGTTTTTAGCATCATGCCCCCCCAAAATTATTTCTAAAACCACTTTCAATGAGCTGCTTCTCTGTTTTTTTCTAAGAAATTTTTTGTATCAGATCTTATGTTTAAGGGCTTTGATCCATTCTGAGTTAATTTTGTAAATGATATGAGGTTTTATTGTTCTGAAGGTGTTCCTCCAGTTTTCTTAGTGCCATTTGTTGAAGACACTGTCCTTTTCTTATGGGGTATTCTTTTTTAAAAAAAATATTTTTTATTAATTTTTTACAGAGAGGAAGGGACAGGGATAGAGAGTTAGAAACATCGATGAGAGAGAAACATCAACCAGCTGCCTCCTGTACACCCACTACTGGGGATGTGCCCGCAACCAAGGTACATGCCCTTGACCGGAATCAAATCTGGGACCCTTCAGTCTGCAGGCCTATGCTCTATCCACTGAGCCAAACTCGTCAGGGCGTCTTATTGGGTATTCTTGGTTCCATTGTCAAATGTCAGTTGACCATAAAGGCTAAGGTTTAATTCTGGGCTTTCCATTCTATTCCATTGGTTGGTGTCTATTTTTGTGCCAGTACTGCACTATTTTTATTACTATGGCTTTGTAGTATAGTTTAAACCTGAAAGTGTGATACCTCTAGCTTTGTTCTTCTTGCTCAAGATTGCTATGGCTATTTAGTTTTTTTGTGCTTCCACACAAATTTTAGGATTATTTCTTTTATTTCTGTGAGGATTGCCTTTGGTATTTTGATAGGGATTGTGTTAAATCTGTAGATGGCTTTGGATAATATGGCAGTTGTAACAACATTATTTCTTATAATCCATTAACATGCAATGTTTTCTCATTTCTTGGTCTCTTCTTTGATTTCTTTCAGCAAAGTTTTGCATTTCTATTGTACAGATCTTTCCCCTTCTTTGGTTAAATTTATTCCTAAGTATTTTATTGGTTTTGATGCTATTATAAATTGAATGGTTTTATTTATTTCTTTTTCAGATGCTTCATTATTAAGTGTAAAGGAATGCAATTGATTTCTGTATGTTGATTTTGTACCATGCCACTTTATTGAAGTCATTGATTAATTCCAACAGAAATGTTTTGGGACTTTTTTATAGGATCAAATCATCAGCTAATGGCAATTTTACTTCTTCCTTTTCAACTTAGGTGCCTTTTATTTTTTTGTCTTGCATAATTGCTCTAGTTCGGACTTTCAGTACTACATTGAATAGGAGTGGTAAGTGGCTTGTTCCTAATCTTAAGGAAACACTTCCAATTTTTTCCATTGAATAGAATGTTGGGAGTTTGTCATATATGCCCTTTATTATGTTGTAGTATGTTCCTTCTATACCCTATTTGTTCAGTGTTTTAATCATGAAAATACGTATTTTTTCAAATGATGTTTTTCTGTATCAACTGAGATAATATGTTTATCTTTCATTTTATTGGTGAGATGTATTACATGTATCGGTATGTACATATTGAACCATCTTTGTATCCCAACGATAAATCCCACTTGGTTATGTTAATAGGTGTTTTAATTCACCTTGATAATAATTTATTGAGAACATTTACATCCATATTCATTAGGGATCTTGGCCTATAATTTTTTTTATACTTTCTATAGTTTTCTTGTGGCATCCTTATCTGGTTTTGGTATCAAAATAATGCTGATCTTATAGAAGAAGTTTTAAACTGTTCCCTTCTCCTCAATATTTTGGAAGTGTTTGAGGAAAATTGGAACTCACTCTTCTCTTTTCTCATTATTGATCTATTCACATTTTCTATTTTTTCCTGGTTCAGCCTTCTAGATTGTATGCTTCTAGAAAGGTATACATTTCTTCTGGGTTATGTAATTTGTTGGCATATAATTGTTCATAGTAGTCTTTTCTAATTCTTTGTATTTTTATAATATCGATTGTAATGTCTCCTCTTTCATTTCTAATTTTGTCTTCGTTATTTTTCTTTCTTTCTTAATCTAGCTTAGCTTTTGTTGATTTAATTTATATTTTCAAAGAAACAGGTCTAAATTTTATTGATCCTATTGTTTTCCTGGTCTCTATTACACTTATTTCTGAGCTGATCCTTATTATTTTCTTCTTCCTGTTAACTTTGGTCATAATTTATTTTTTTCTACTTCTTTGAGGTGTAAAGTTAGGTTGTTTACTTGCGATCTCTATAATTTTTTTTAAATTTTTTTTATTGATTTCAGAGAGGAAGGGAGAGGGAGAGACAGGTAGAAACATTAATGAGAGAGAATCATTAATTGGCTGTCTCCTGCCCCCTCCCCTCGCCCCCCCCCCCCCCCCCCCGCCCCACTAGGGATGAAGCCTGAAATTCGGGCATGTGCCCTTTACTGGAATCATACCTGGGACCTTTCAGTCCATAGGCTGACTCTCTATCCAAACAACCCAGGGCATCTGTAATTTCTTAATATGTGTGTTTGTTTATTGTTAAAATCTTTCCTTTCAAAATGGCTTTTGCTGGTTTCCGCAATATATGATATGGTGTGTTTCCATTTTCATTTGTTTTGAGATAATTTCATTATTTTTATTTTTATTTTTGTTTTACCTAATACTTGCTTAGAAGTATGTTGTTTAGTCTTCACATATTTGTAGATCTTCTCGCTTTTTTCTTGTTCTTGATTTCTAATTTTGAACCTGCCACCTTCTGGTATATGGGACATCTTACCCTCCAATCAACTAAGCCCTACTGGCCAGGGCTGATTTCAGTCTTCTTGCATTTGCTAAGATTTGTTTTGTGGCCTAACATATGACCTATCCTAGAAAAAGTTCTCTGTGCACTTGAGAATGATGTGTATTCTGCTGCTGTTGGATAGGATGTTCTGTCTGGTAAAAGCTTATTTAGATTTTAACATATGTATGATATGTTCAAGTTAAATTATAGTGAGATAAAATTTAGAAAAGATTAGGGTTAAATTATAGTGAGATAAAATTTATAAAAGATTAGGGTTAAATCCAAAGAAGAACTAAAATCTATCCTCCTCAGATTATTCCAAAAAATTCAAGAGAAAAGAACACTTCCAAGCTCATTCTATGAAGCCAGAATTACCCTAATATCAAAACCAGATAAAGACAACACAACGAAAGAGAACTACTGGCCAATATCCTTCATGCACATAGATGCCAAAATCCTCAACAAAATTCTAGCAAATCAGATCCAACAGTACATCAGAAATATCATACACCATGACCAAGTGGGATTTGTTCCAGGGATGCAAGGATATCCGCAAATCAATAAACATGATACATCACATAAAAAAATTGAGAGATAAAAATTGCATAGTCATATCAATTGATGCAGAAAAAGCATTTAACAAAATCCAACACCCTTTCTTGATAAAAAACCTCAGCAAAATGGTAATAGAGGGATCATACCTCAACATAATAAAAGCCATATATGACAAACCTACAGCCAACATCATACTCAATGGGCAAAAACTAAAACCATTTCATCTAAGAACAGGAACGAGGCAAGGATCCCCACTGTCACCACTACTGTTCGACATAGTACTAGAAATGCTAGCCATAGCAGTTAGACAAGAAGAAGAAATAAAAGGTATCCAAATTGGAAAAGAAGACGTAAAACTGTCCTTATTCGCAGATGACATGATAATGTATATAGAAAACCCTA